TTAATAGTGTTGAAATCAAATCCGACAGTGTTAATTTGGACATGCTGGATTTGCTGTGTATGACTGTAGCCCTAAATAAGAAAAAAAAAGTAAAAAATCAATAAGCAGTCTACCTGTGCACATAACCCAGTCTATGGACTGAGTCAATAGCCATAACCATCTCTGCCAAGTAGAACTGAGCCATGTCCTCAGGGATCCGATCCTCAAATTTACTGAGGAGAGTCAGCAGGTCTCCACCTACATAATAATCCATCACCAGGTACTGAGTGAGAAGGGATTGGAAGGTTGTGAAAATTAGTAATCGGATTCAAGTTAAATATAAAATGCTAAAATGTAGACAACACATTTGTAAAACATATTTATCTGATTGACCATGTATAAACATACCAGGTAGTTATCATCTTGAAAGGCATAGTGCAACTCTGTGATCCAGCGTCTGTCACCCCTTAACAAAACTTCCCTCTCTTCTTGGTAACATGCTGTCTGTGTAAAGCATGAAGAGAACTCGATGCCAGACAAATGAAAAGCAGCAGGCAGAAAAATATAATGCTGAATTATCAATAACAAAAACCTTATAGATTTAAAGTTTGAGTCCCCATTATGTTGTCATAACCCTATTCTTAGTGTTGTGAATGTGAGGTTATCTGTGCTTGTGTACCTCTCCTCGCCTCAGCATGTCCCACTTATTCATAATCTTCAGAGCATACACTTGTTGTGTGTTTCGCATCTTTGCCACTGCGACCTGTGGTAGTGACAAGACCAAAAGCAGCACAATAACCACTTAAACGATTGCATGCACAAAACGAGAAGACTGTCATAATTGGTGATTTGTCTAAAACATTCTAAGAGTGAGAGATGGTCGTGTTCTGTATCGAATTATGTACAAATGAAACATTGCTTATTGGAATATTTGAGTGTTTTGACAAACACTCATTCACCTGCCAAATATCAGAATACTTCTCTGTATAATAGCTCAAAGCATTGCTTTGGGGAACTTTTTTTTGTTCTTTTGGTTGCTCTTTTTCAATTCAGTTTGTTCAACTGAGTTCTATTTATATAGTGTCAAATTACAACAACAGTGTTGCCTCAAAGCATTTTATACTCTAAGGTAAAGACCCTGCAATTATACAGAGAAAACAGAGAAAACCCCAACAATCTGATCACCCCCTAGGGGCAAGCACTTTGGCAACAGTGTGAAGGAAGCCAGACTCAAGGAGGGGTAGTCATCTGCTGCAACCAGTTGGAGGTGAGGGGAGTAAGACAGTAAGAGAGCCTGATGATTAATAATAACTACCTGCAGAGTGTTGTATAAACACATAGTGAGTAAAAAGAGATGAATGAAGAATTCTCAGTGCATCATGGAAAGCCCCCAGTGGCCCAAGCCTATTGTAGAATTAATTAAGGGAGGAGTCAGGGTGACCTAATCTAGCCCTTACTATATGCTTTGTCAAAAAGGAACATCTTAAGCCTAATCTTAAAAGTAGAGAGGGCATTTGTCTCCCAAATCCAAGATGGTTTCACAGAAGAGGGGCTTGAAAGCTAAAAGCTCTGTTTGCAATTCTGCTTTTAAATATCCTAGGAACAGAATCAGAATCAGAGAGACCTTATTTATCCCCAAAGGAACTCCAAGTAAGCCAGCAGTCTGAGAGTTAAGTGCTCCTTTGGGGTGATATGGTACTATGAGGTCTTTAAGATAAGATGGGGTCTGATTATTCAACACTTTGTATGTGTGGAAAAGGTTTTTAAATGTGATTCTGGATTTAACGGGGAGCCAATGAGGAAAAGCCAGGATTAGCAAGATATGCTCTCTTTCTAGTCCCTGTCAGTACTCTCCATGCATGTAATGAATTACAATTGTTCAGCCTACAAGTAAAAAATGCACGACCTAGTTCTTCAGCATAAATCTGAGACAGGATGCTTCTAATTTTAGAGATATTGCACAAAGATATTGCTGTGTTGGTGCATGGCAATTAAGAAGAAGTAGGTGGCAGAATTATATCCTTAAACATAGTTTAAGAACAAGATCCAGAGTGTGATTAAAGTGGTGGGTTAGTTCTATTCTGTTTTGAGCAAAGGCAATTGAGCCTAATAATCAATTAAAGGCCATCTTGATGCTGCCATTTTCAGTATCTGCACTGATGTTTAATTCACCAACAATAATTATTTTCTCTTAGCTGAGCACTAAATCAGATAAGAAAGTCTGAGAAGTAAAGTACAAAAGCCCAGGTGGATGATAGGTAACAACAAATAATAAAATAATAATACTTTAACCCTAAGTCCTCAAAAACACATCCACCTTTGATCCTCGAGCCAAAAAACGGCCACGCCCAAAAAAGTGCTATAAAAATGTTATATATTAATATTTTTTTTCCACTTTAAATGAGTCAGTCTTTTAAAACTACTTCTGCCTGAAATATATAAAGTTTTAATTATATTTCGGGGGTTTTAACCCTTTAAATCCCATTTTCTTTACATGAGCGCACTGGTTTTTTAGCCGAAAAAAACAAAAAACTTAAAAATTTTCCAGAAAATACATTTGAAGTAATATTTGATTGTTATTATAATTAGGCCTTTATATGGGACAAAAATTGCCACCAACATTCATTTTGATCCATCATTTTTTTTTTTTTTTGCAGGGGCAGTAAATATCATGTTTTCACATTTTTCCACCCAAATCTTATTGCCTTGTTGTTTTTTAAAAAAAAATAGAAAAAAAATATGTAAATAAAAATACAAGATCACTTTGAACCAGAAAAACATTTATTTTAGAAGGATAAACTTCAACATTTATGTTGTTGGGAATGTAGAAATGTCATTTCCTCTACTGCCAGACTGGCTCGATTTATGTCCACAATATAGTCCACACAGTCACTGTAAAATGAGACGCCAAGGAGGTTGTGGAAGCCACCGATTTATTCTCCTCCTGCAGGAGTAGGTGCCAACAACCTAACAAAAAATGAAAACAAAACAAAAGAAAAAAAACCTGTGTATATTTTGGACAAGAATGGGCAAGAATGAAAAAAATGCGTGCGTAACTGACACGTAATGACACGTACCTTTTTGCCCAAATCTTTATACCATATTTCACCGGCTTTTTTGGAATGTACTGCCTGAAGCTGCACCTGCCTCTGAATGGGACGAGTTTTTCATCCACACAGGTCTCTGTCTGGACACACAGCATCTGCAGGTGGTGCGCCCACACTATGAAGGCAGCCATCTGGCAGCCGTTGGTAGGGATGGGTATTGATAAGATTTTAACGATTCCGATTCCATTTTCGATTCTGTTTAACGATTCGATTCTTTATCGATTCT